TAAGAGGCCAAGGGAAGGACCTGATGTCAGCAAGGCAAAAGGAGTTGAGAATGTGCCCTTCATTTACATCAGATCTACCTCCCAACCAGACTGTGACTTCCTGCAAGGCAGAAATCCCATTCTGTCCTCCCTTTCATCTCCAGCCCATCAAAAATGCCACTCAAGGGCCAGTTCTGCACAGTAGGTGTTTAATCAACATTAGTTCTTGAACGAAATGATAAAGCATTTTGTAGCCTTAGTTTCTTTCTTTTTTCTTTTTTCCATAAGACTTATTACATCATCGCTAAGGAGAAACTTCAAAAGAAATTTTTTAATGGCAGTACTGGGGATTGAACCTAGGACCTTGTGCATGCTAGGCATGCATTCTGCCACTGAGCTACACCCTCCCCTGTGTTTTTAAAATTTTTTGCAGAGGGGGAGGGTGTAGTGGTAGAGCATGTGCTCAGCATGCACAAGGTCCTGGGTTCCATCCCTAGTACCTCCATTAAAACAAACAAATAAATAAAAATCTAATTACCTCCCCACCAAAAACAATAAAATTAAAAAAAAATTTTTGCGACAGTGCTCCAGTCATCTCCCCAAGACCTCGTATCCCCTTTTCCTCCCCACATGCAAAGTCCATCTAGCTCCTGGCTCTCCGTAGCCAAGGTCTTATTTTCCTTGACCTGACGGCACTGGGTAGCAGGAAAGGGCGTTGGGGTAGTTATCAGAAGGCAGAGGGTCTAACAGCACCACCGTCCCCTCCCACTCTGGCAGGGGCGAGGAGTTTAGGGGGAAGAGTGGGTCAGGTCCATTTCCTCAGCATCCTCTGTTCTCAGCCAGGAAAAGCCAGCCGGGTAGGGTGTGGGGAGTGTCATGGCTAAGGGCTCTCAACAGCTGTCCCCAAGGAGATAACAACTGTCCCCACCAGGCCTGAGGTTCCCCCACCTTTGTTTCTAAGGTGGCTTGGGCCCTGTGGTACCCAGAACTGGAAACCAGTCAGTGCCACCTCACAGACTTGAGAAAACACATCTGTTTATTATCTATGTGACCAACGGGGTTGTTTTCACACGCGGTAATTTGCATTTCCAAGGAGAGCAATTTATTTTTAATTATTTTATCAGGCACACACGTCCTCTCCAAGCATAATTAGTTCCTTTGCAAGGGAATTATTGGTGGCTGTGAGAACTCCCACTGCAGACCCACCACTTCCTTCAGTTTGTCTCCCTTTGTAGCCTCATTTGAAATATTCCAAATGTTTTCTTAAACAGGCCAGCACGTTTGTTTCTTCTCTCTCAGGTGAGGGAACATATTTTTCAGAAAACAAAGCTAATGCTAAGATTTCTTAGAAAGTGTGATACTCACCCCCATCTTTTCCAGAAACCTGGATTTTAATTGGATGTTGATGAGAACAAGAGTGGATTTGAGCCCCAACAGAGAATCCCAGTAGATTCTGGTGCTGTCCCAACCTGGGGTCCTTCCTCCCCAGCCGCTGTTCCCCATCTGCCTCTGGACCCTGCCTTTCAGCTCTTAGCTCAAACACCAGTCTTCCACATTTGAATTCAAAACAGAGACTGCACAGAAGACACTCAGATATCCCACTGCTCCACCCAGAGCAGTGCATGGAAACGGTTATCCCCCAGGAAGCCCCTCCCGTGTGCCCGGCACTGGGATGGGAGGGCTCCAGGGGGTGACTCCGCAGCCCCGCTCCCCGGGGACCATCACCCTGTTTGTTCTGGATGCTCTGCTTTCATTAATGGGAACTAGAGCACGTTGGATTTTCTAAGAAATCACATCACGCTATTTGGCCCATAGTGATTTTTCAAGCAACTAAAACCCTAGAGTCTTCTTTTTACCTTTCTGAACTTCTTTAGAATAAAATTTGTTTCCATCCGATTCAGCAGACATTTTACACGAAACCCCTTCTCTCTCCAATTATGCACTTGTTCATGTTCAGGTTTTTTTTTATTGAATCATAGTCGATTTACAATGTTGTGTTAAATTCTAATGTACAGCATAGTGATTCATTTTTTAATTTTTATATATATATATACACATATACATATATACACATATATATATATTTCTTTTCATATCTTTTTCATTATAGGCCATTACAAGGTATTAAATATAGTTTCCTGGGCTATACAGTAGGACCTTGTTGGTTATCTGTTTTATATATAGTAGTTAGTATCTGCAAATCCCAAACTCCCAATTTATCCCTTCCCACCTCCTTTCATTTTTGTTTTTAAAACTGAACAGAGAACATTTCTTTCAGTCAATGATTTTGACTTTTCTATTCTGTGTCACTGCCTGGTTTTGCTTTTGGCTGCTTGTGTTACCAAATCCTCCTTGGCAACTGGACAAACCTGTCTCAGGAGTTGGCTACTCTGTAGCCCAGAAGCCAAATGAGGCCCAACATCTGTTTTTTAAAATACAAGTTGTTGGAATACAGGCATTCTCATCTGCCTACGTGTTGTCCATGGCCGCCCATACCATAGCATGGCCGGGTTGAGTAGTCGCCACAATAGACTGTGTGACCTACACAGCCTTTTAGTGGGTCATGTTCTATGTGTCTTAGCCACATATTGTGTTCCTGGGGAACTTGATTTAACCTGTTACATCTGTATCTGTTATGTACCTGATTACTTCAATAAAGAATCTTAGGCTCTCTGGATTGGGGTCTAGTCCAAGCGGTTCTGAAGTGTGAATCCTCTCCTTCACACTCCCACCAAAGATGAGGAACTCACCACCCCTGAGGTATTCCGCACCATCCTGCTGAGTTGCAGGACAAGATAACACAGAAGAAGGCATGAATACGCTCCATTCACTGTTTTCAGTCTGCTGAGACATGTCGAGGAACGACTGATTTATGGCAGAAGATGAATACAATTGGCAGAAAGTCCTGCACCATAGTAATTTCTCACAGTCACACAGGACTTGTTCATCATCTCAGGTTCACAGCATCCCCACGCAAAAGGGCTGTGATTCCTGTCCTGCAGGTGAGAAATTGAAGCTCGGAGAGGTTAAGTCTCACCAGGATCACCTAGCCATAGGCAGAAGGGTAAGAGCTCAAAATTAGGTCTGCTGACAAGTCCTGGACTCTTTCCCCAATAAATACTGTGCTCAAATCCATCACTATTGGAAAAAATCTGGTGATAATGTTATCCACCTCATATGGTTATTATGAGGATCAAATCAGATACTTACATGAAGATAAATTTTAAGCCATTTCAAATCATAAATGAATGTCAGCATAACCCAAGGTTTTCCAGGCCTTACCTGTCTGTGCACATAAATGAAATGAAATCAACAGTAATAATCCAAATTCTACTGACTTTTGCCCCAAGCTTATACAGAGTCTTACCATCTATAAAGTGTTCTTCAAACATTCCTGGAGCTTCTCTAGGATCCTGAGAATACATCCGAGTTCACGAACAAGTCCACTCCCACATGGTCTCCTGCTGCTGTGTTCAG